TTTGAGAAAATGTATGGTGCTCCCACGAAAGGTAAAGAAACGTTTGAAGTAGATGAGATCGACAAAGCTATAAAATTATTTGACGAAGTTGCTGAAAAATACATGTAAAGCGTTTATTTTTACGCTTGACTTTTTACAATTTGAACTTTGTTCGCGTAGATGTGAATTCTGAAAGAAGTATGAGGGTCTTGTATGACTTTGTACTTCTCCCATAGTTCATGTCTGTCAAACTTACCTGCCATGGACTCTTTCATAAGTTCCATGAAATCGTCTTCGGACAATCCGGGGAAAAGTATAATATCAGTAAGTATTCTCTTTACATCCTTACTTAAACTCTTGGCTGTCTGTACACAAATGACAACTGAAATGTTAAAGTGTCTGAGCTTCTTAAGAATTCGACACATGTCTTGTTCTCGTTCTTTAACAAAGGATGAGAAGCAAAGTCATCTAAGATAAGAAGACATCTGTGAGGGTAAGTCTTCCAATCGTAAGATTGCAATTTCTTCGAAATGTATTCTATCTCTTTCTGTTTGTTTCTGAATGTTTCTTCTCTAATATTCTCTGCATTTCCTCATTTGGGTCTTTAAACTTCGAATTGACATACTCATTTATAGCATTGTACTTCAAAACTCTTCTTTGGTACTTCTTTATCCAATCTAACAACTCAGAGTCTTTTATACATACTAACTTAGACTTTTTTATAATATCTTTGAACGAATTGACGGTTTGGTCAAATTGACCCGAAGTACTACAAATGACTACTAACTCATAGAATGGGTTCTTCTCATCTAGTTCTTGTTGTTGTGCAGCCATTTTAAGATAAGTGAAAGTCTTACCCGACCCAGGTGGTGCAATTAGACCTGTTATACCATTCTGAGCAAATAAGAACTTGTCATGTATGGGTTTTATCTGAGCATTTTCCAACTTCCTCTTGTTCTTGTTTAAAACATTCTCAAATTTCTTGTCAATGTCAGCAAACTTTTTTTCTAACATATTTTTAGAAAAATTAAAATTTTTATCTTTTACAAAATGTCTAGCGATTTCGCTATCTATATTCGAGACAAGCTTTTCGACAGCAAAACATCTGTAGACCATAAAATCTTACATAGTGTAAACAAGAAAGGGGAATTTGTTCTAAAGTTCTGTTTCTGGGAATATGACAAGAACCATAAAACATTAAGCAGAGCAGTCTTAAAATTTGTCAATGACAGACTTGTTGACAGAGATGACGCCTCTTGGAGAGATGAAGTCCAACAAAACTTCTTAGAATGCAAAGAAACACATGCGCTGTTCTTGAAAATGAAATAGAAAAACAGAATAGAAGAGCTATTAAATGACAAAGCACTTTTACAAAAATATGGTTCTGAGAAGTTTGACAAAACCACCAGAAAAGAAGAAGAGAGAAAGAAAGAAAAGAAAGTAGAAGAAGAGAGAAAGAACCAGAGCCAGAGAAAAAGAAATTTGACATGTAAAAATAAAATTTTATTTTTAGAACATTTCTGGGTCAATGTCAATGTTCTCTTCCTCTTTAGGAGCAAACACTGGCTTAGACTCTAAAATCTTTTTACCCAATTTACCTTGAACTTCAACTATCTTAGACTCATAATATTCATAGTCGTCTGCTTTCTTGGTTCATAAGGTATAACAAGTTTGTATGCTTTGCCTTCTTTAAGGTTTGAGAACCTTCTGTCAAAACTTTCTTTGACTGTTAACAAACCTTCTATGTCTAAGTCTTCAATTTCGCACCATTTTTAGTCACAATAGCAAACTTAACTGGTTCGATGTTCCAAACTTTGTCAAATGAAGACTTTTCAAAATGGTAGAAGTAAACATTCAAATATGTGAATGGGTCTAGTTCTTCTTTAAGTCCTGACATGTACTTGTTTACTGAGAGAATTTCGTCATCTTTTCTATCGGATAAAAAAATATTTTTTTTTAAAATTTACTCAGAAAAATTTTTCTTTGTATATACACCATTCTGTACGTCTAAAAGACTTTTGACATTTGCCAAGAATGTTCGTTTAGAAGCTGTCATATAACCATATTCTTGACAATATTGTTTATACGAATCGTACAATGACCTTTCATCTAAACACTCAAAGTCAGTTTCATCTATGAACAGTTCATATACACTCTTGTTTGCTTCTAACAATGTTTGTCTCTCTTCGGTATGTGGAATTTGTCTTGGATTGAACTTAGAAATATCTAATGTCATGAAATATGAGAACAAATGGTTGTAAAACTCTGGTGTCAAAGTTTCTGCTAAGTCGTCAAAATATTCTGTATCTTGCATATGAGCTTCTGACGTTCTGACAACTACATATCTTCTGTCAGAACTTTCTAACTTCATCGGAACGGCGTTGTTTGAAACCATGACGAAGTTTGCAACATTTTCACAAACTCTTTGGTCTTTATATTTTCTTTCAACAACTCCAACTTTGTCTGTTATAAGACTCTTCAAAGCATCTGAGTTCAAAACTTTTGTTGTATCTATACTTTGAAGTTCGTTACATACTATAAGTTTCATATTCTCTATTGAAGAGTTAAATTTACCGCAGATGTTTTCTAAGTTGTCATATTAGGGTTCGAATAGCCTCTAACAGTTTGCACAAAATATCTGTAAAGAAAGTGTTCTTACCTGTTCCTTGTTTTCCAATTATATGAGAGCAGTTTCATTTTTAGCACTTGGATGTTGTAAGATGTTTGCAAAACCAACATAAGATATACTCATAGACTCTTTCGTTTCCATTGCATATAATTTCTTTGACATGGTCTAACCAAGCTTCTATAACATTTTCTTTCCATTCTACTTGTTCGTATTTATATCCAGTGAAGATAGAATAGAAGTTTGGAGAAGGTGTATAGAACTTTATACCACGAACTGAAAAATCTTCTAACTTTGACAATAAGATATCCCAAGCATCTAACATCTTCATGCCAACTTGTACGACTTTTATTTTCTTAAGTTTCTGTTTACATTCTTGTTCTGAAACTATTGTCGCTTTAGGTTGTTAAAGACTACATCCCATTCTTTCATGACATAACATTCTGGGGCAGAGTCAACATAAATGACTAAACGTTTCAAATTCTCGACTGCTTTGTTATAGTCTCTAAATGGACACATATTTCTGAAGGCTTGGAAGTCATAAAAATCTGAAACATCTATTCTGTACATTTTTATAAAAATAAAAAAAAATATTTTTTTTATCTTGACTTTGTTGTTGCATTGTTCCATTTGTTGCATTTGTTGTTCTTGAGCTATTTGTTGTTGAAGTTGTTCTTGTAGTACAATACTTTCACCAGTTGCATCTTCCAATTCGAAACTTTCTGCCGTCATTGACAAATACATAGACATAAAAGTTTTACAGGAACAAAGTTTGCGTCAACTAAGGTTAAGTTTATGTTTGCTAAAGTGTTTGAGTTCACTAAAGCTGAAAACTCTGCATTCGAATGAACAATAGGCAAACCAGCAGAGAAAGTATTGTTTATACGCATGAGTATCTTTTGGTCATAGTAGTTTCTGTCGACATTCGAATAACACTTTGAACCTAAGTTTGAAACAATATATAAGATTGGTGTGCTTAATGTCAATGGAATAGACATTCCTTGTATGACACCTTTTCCTGTTATAGGAAACTGTTGGTAGTAAAAACCAGAAATAAGTTTTGTATTATAGCTCATATCGTTTATAGTAAACTCAGTCGGACATCCAAACATAATGAAACCTGCTCTAGTTGCAGCACATGTTACATCCGTCCTTAAAGTATTAAATAAGTCAACAAAACCTGTTGGTGGTATATCTGAGTAAGTATCTTCAAAGGAGTATTTTTTACCATTCACAACAAAAAGTCTTCTGGTGTCAAAAGAGCAAAACAGGCTTTAGTCGTCATTGTGTTTAAGGTTAGTTTACAATATCGTCCTTGAGGACTTTGTAAGTTTGTTGTTATAGAATTATATGACTCAGGGTTTTTAGTCGTAATAGTATAAACCATTATGTCTTCTGCCATTTACTTAGCAAATAAATTTTAATGAAATGTTGTGGTCGTCAAATATTTTTATAACGTCTGGGAAACTATACTTTAAGTTCAACGTTTCACCTCCTTTCATAACGTATATCTTGTCAATGACATTATATGAAACACCACAGCAACTAATGTCGGGTTCTATTTCTTTGATGTTTATATCGTCTGCCTCTGTCAAAAGTTTCAATAGTTCTTTCAAAACTTCATGAGGTGCAATGACATATGAGTTCACTTTTACAGGGTTGTGTTCGACCAAGTTTAACATTATACTTAAAGCTTGACAAATCTTCTCCTGAGTTTGAAGTTTGTCTTTCAGTTGTTGGTAGTCGTTTCGAATATCTGCAACAGAACTTAAGTCTCTGCTAACTTCAGGATATGTTGTTGTTCTTTTACAGGAACAATTGTTATACCATCTTCGTCTTCGTATGGTTTCCCCACTTCAACATCTCTGTCTTTGACATTGACAACAACACTTTGACTGTTTGTTTGAGTTGGTGAATTTAACTTCACATCTGCCACCGCCATTAAACCTTTTGAAACACTTACGCTTCTATTTTTCGGAAATGACATTTTACTTAGAATAAAAAGATGGACGTATTCGGTATCTCTTCGAATTGAAGCAAACAAAGTTTACACACACAAACAATACAAATACATTGACAGAATAGTTCTTTACACAAACAATGGAAAATGTTATAGAATAGCAGTCTTTGCTGAACCAAAATATTTTCATAAAGCAAAGAAAGTTGGTATAACTGAAATGGTGAAAGTTCTTGACGTTGACAAAAATATAACTTCAAAACTGACCGATATTCTAAAGGTAAGTTTATAATACAATATTATGTCAAAACTGGCGTACTGTCAATATTTGACGGAGAGAAGTCAGTTCAAGAACAACTTACTGACCTGCTGCCAAAATCTGCTCGATGGAAGCTGTCGTTATGCCAATCTGAGGAGCCCCAGCAGGTTTCATCGAACGAATCTTCAAAAGAGCATCTTCCGTGAAAAGTGCTATTGGTTTTGTAAACTTCTTTGCTTTCAATTCATCTGGACCGTCTCTGTCACCAGTATATTGTATTTGAACTGTACCAACAGTTGAAATACCACCCATAAAGTCTTCTGAGTCAGCAAATGGAATGCCAAGCCAAAAGTTTGAACGGTCTCCATTTGTATATTGAGTTTTTTGACCTCCTGTATGAGTCCATACTTTCACATATGGCATAATAGAACTTTGCATTTCAGGGTTAATGGTTGTTGTGAAGTTGTTGTTAAAGTTCATAGCATCTAATGTCAAGTTGTATGACCTCATATCCTCAACTGTAGAATATTCTTCTCTTGGATAATATTTGCCATCTATGTTTATATGATATTTAATACCAGGGTTGTAGAAACAAGAATAGTCATTTATAGTTCGTCTGAACAGTACAAACATAGTATCTGCATGTTTCATTGCAGTTGTTAAGGCAATATCTGTTCTTGCACCTGGGTCAGCACTTTGGTTTCCAACTTCACCTGCAAAGTCTTTGACAGATATTTGGTGTATAGGGAACATAAGTGGAACTGCAATATATTTGGCAGCTAAAGCATTTGAAATATCTGGGTCCAACATATAGACTGCAAGTCTGCTTTCTATTCTCTTGCATTCAAACTTTCGCATGTGAACTTAACTGGGTCCCAAGCAGTTCCAGCAGCATTGAAATAATAGTTTACTTCAGTGTTGAGGTTTGAGAAACCAAAGTCTAAGTCAACTTTGTCTTTGCAAAAGTCGGCGAATGACGTTTGATTTGCTCCCTTTACGTCGTAAGAGTGAATGGGTCTTGTGTTGGTGCAATGACTAAATTTTTGCTTGGAGTAAGTTCGATAGAAATTTTTCCTGCCAGTTTGGCAAGTATCTTAAAAAACCTGAAGATGAGGAAAGATGACAAAGGAACTCTAAGTTTCAGTTTTACTTTAGTTACTGCTGCTGCAGTTTGTCCAGAAAGGTTAACATAAACTCCTGGAACGTTAGGGTCAAGTCTTCTTATTTTCTCAATAGTTGCATACTGGTCTGTTTGTTCTCTAGCTTGTGGTTGTACTGAGTTTCTCAAAGCGAACCATTCATAGTTTGCCCATGTTACTGTTTGAACTAAGTCAGAGTTAGAATATATCTTATATCCCATGAAAACTTCTGGAGCATATTGGTATCCGACATAGAAAATTCCATTGCAACCTTTCTTGTCAGACAACTTGGCAGAAGGTTTTATTTCAATGTCTTGTTCCACGTATAAGAAAGAGTTGTCAATAGAAATAATATGAAACCTGTCGCAAGCAATATCTACTGTTGTTGAAGAACCTTCTCCAAACTCACCTACGTTTCCATAAGAAACAGCAGTTGTATATTCGTAAGTTCCAGGAACTATTTCTGACCTTCTAATGGCATTGTCGCATTCGTTATACCATTCGGAAACATTTCCATTCATGGCATCCAAAACTGTTGGCGTTATATTCTGAGCGGCGTACATTTCATATGGGTAAAAATATAGAATAGTTGGATTTATGTGTCATAATAGAACCCACTCATACCAAGCTTTACTTTCTTCCTGACTGAGTTTTTAACTCTTCTTTTTCTTTCATTGCCACTACTTTCACTAGATGAAGTTACTTCTTCACTACTTTCACTTTGTTCTACTCTTCTCTTCTTCTTTGGTGTCGCTTTTGGTAACTTGCCCTCTGCTTCAAGTTGTTGCATCTTTGCCTCATGTTCATCTAGTATGTTGCAAATTTTCCATGCCCTTTTTGCCTTTGGGCTCTGGTCGCCCATCTCAGGTAACCTATATCCTAGAAAGAGTTTGTCATAGTTTGTATTTGAGTCGTCGCTTATTGTTTGCATGACTCTTTCCTGAGTTTCCGGTTCAAGCTCTTCAAACAGTGCCTGTCCATATGGAATAAGCTCGTTTCCAAATATATGTTTTTGTAGCCATTCTGGTTTTCTTTCCATGTTACCAACAATATCTTTTGTGAATGGGAAAGCTTTACCAATGTTCAGTCTTGCGTCATTTATTTCTGTAGTTGGTTTTATTTTGTAAGAACATGTTTTTCAATACTAACATTCATTTGTACTGTCCATTTGAGTTTTCTTAAATATTCATCCCTTCTCAGTTCATGTCTGCAAAGTAAGTTTTTATGACATTTTGTAAACTTTCGTTTGCAAGGTCATGTACAATAGTTCTCTTCCTTCGCTCTCCCTAACTTTCTTCTAAAAACTCTTCACCAAATATACCATCTCTATGTTCTGTGTAGTTCTTTGAGATAAATGTTCTAGAACGTCAGGTGTTATATTTCCATCAGCCATGTTCATTTCATACTGGTCCAAAATATCTGCATGTTCAATCTTTCAATGCATTAAAGCCGCGCTTAAAATACCAGCTATATCTCGTTCACCATTCAATTCCATGCGTCTACAACTTCTTGGAATTGTGGTTGTAAGTTTATGAACCACCTATCCGGATTAGCTTATGACCCCATCTCATTGTAGTTCCATCGTCTGCAGAAACAAAAGTAGGTTGTTTCCATCTTGGCTAGTTCTGAATGAACTTTAAACAATGTTTCATTTCTATATGTTTCTTGAAATTTAACCTTTTATTTTCACCGAGTTCATCCAAAGATTGAACGTTATATCCTCGTAAGTAAAAAGGGTTGTTGTATTTGTGTACATTTTCTTTCAGTACTTCCATTCATGCTGAATATTCATCTGGTTGGAGTCTTTTGTAGTCGGCAAACATTTTTCGATATTCTTCTACTATGTCAGCTGAATTTTTTTAGACTCTTGGAAATATTCCATATTCTCCGCATACACTTGTTGAGGGTCAAGATTTTCGGCTGTTCCAAATCTTCATCTAGTTCTGTTGAAGTTAGTTTCCAAAGGAGGACTTGTTCTTTCCTTCAGGCTCTTCTAGCTGTTGTTGCTGAACTATTTCTTCCATGTCTGGTTGTATCTGAACTAGTTCTTCCTGTGGAGTTCTTGTACCTCATCTGCTGGCATTTCATATATTCCGAGACCGTTTTCAACAAGTTCCCTTTCTAAGTCATCCGGACTCACAAACCTTTCTTCTTTCGTTCCGTCTCTATTTTTTACGCGTTTCATGAAGAGAGTTAAATTGTCATTTAGCTCTGACATCAAATATCTCGGAGTAAATTCATCCATGTCATTTGGATGATATGCTATTAAATCATATCCCTTAGCGAGCTTGTATTTTCCAGGTTTGAGATTATATCCCCTTTGGTGCAGAGCCATAAAGCTAAATAGGTTCGGGTCAGTATTTCCATCCTTGAACTTTCTAATAGCTTCTTTATATCTGTCACTAAAGTCAATACTATCTGGGTAACCATACTCTTCTTTAAGCATTTTTAAGAATTCTTGGTTTCCTTGTTCTCTACTTCTTTTATGTCCTTGTCTTCTTTTGTGTTTTGTTGTTGTGCAGGGTTTTGAACTGTTGGTTGCTGTGCTGGATTTTGAACTGCTGGTTGCTGTGCTGGATTTTGAACTGTTGGTTGTTGTGCAGGGTTTTGAACTGTTGGTTGTTGTGCTGGTTGTGGAGGTGGTTGTTGTGTTGGTTTTGGTGTTGGTTTTGGTGCATGCCTGTGTCTGTGTCCATGTGACGATGTAAATGTTTTAGGTAGTCCTGGTGCAGGTGCTTCTCTTGGAGGGTTTGGTGGTATATAAGTTCCACTAGCTAGTATATAAGTTCCACCAGCTGGTATATAAGTTCCACCAGCTGGTATATAAGTTCCACCAGCTGGCACATATGTTCCATCTGCAGCGTAATGTCCTACCTGACTTTTCGTTTTTAAGAAAGCATTTACTAGGTCTGTTTTGGTCTGTTGTAACTCTTTTTCTTGACTTTTCACAACAGTTGCTCTAACGGCGTCATAGGCACTTTGAACTGCCTGTCTCGTTGCTGCATCTGTTATTTTCGTCATATTTTGTGCTACTTCTTTTAACTCTTTGTCGAAACCTTCAGACTTCAGTTTCTTTCCAGATGAGAAGTCGTTCACTAGTTTCACCTTACTATGAAGAGCTTCGAAGGCGTTCTTAAAGTCAGCATTCGTTAAAGCTTCATTTGAACTGTCTTCATCCGCTTGTATTTTTGTCCTTATTGACCCTATAAGCTGGGCTGCTTTGGCGTTGGCTTGGGCATCTAACCAGTCATTGTTAGCTTTTATATATTCTGCGCTTTTCATTGCCTTTTGCATGGCTGCGTCGTTATTTTTACTTTCTTGTGCTAAGTTTTCATACTGTACGGTTTGGTTTTGCAACTGTAAAAGTTTTTCTGCCTTTACATTTGCTTCAACTTCTTTTTTATACTCATTGCTATCCATATATGTCTTCAGGGCTTTTTGTTTTATCTCTTCATCTTTCAGTACTTTATATTGAGTAGTATGGTTTTTCAAATTTATGACATCTTGTTCCATTTTTGCTACTTCTGCTGCTTTTTCTGACACTTTTTTCGCATATTGCTCTGTACTTAGTTCTTTCAGTTGTTCTTCTTTCTTCTTTTTCTCTACGTTTAACTCATTAGTTTCTTTGTGTGTCTGTCATATTCTAGTTTCTTTTCGTTTTCACTTATTTGCTTCTGTATGTCTATGTTTGACTTTTTGACATCTGTTATTTGATTTTTGAGTGAACTCAAATTCATTTGACTTTGAGGGTTATAAGCTGTTCCGTCTGCAGCTCCACCATAGCCTGCCATTTTCGCTAAAAGTGCCGCTCTTAAACCTCCACTCTGTGCACCAATGACTCGGTTTAAAAGCATAGGGTTGCTTGACATTTGTTGCAACATAGTGGGGTCATTCATCATTTGTTGTTGCAACTGTTGTTGTGGTGTCAGTCTTACTATTGGATGTTTCAATGCTCTCTTCCTCTTACGTATATTCTTACGTAGCTTACGTGGCATTTTAAGTGAAGTTAAAAAGCGGCTTTTGACAGATGTTTATATGACACTTTTTGTTCAGCACAAAAAACTACTCGGTCAAAGTGTTGTCAGTTTTGTAAAATAACCGTCCTATCTCATTCTATAAGGGGAAAAAGGCTTCTCAAAGTATACTTCCTTGGAACGCCTGTAACTTTTCCTGTAGCGACGATAGACCCTTACTTGTCCGGACAAAGTTATACTATTTTGAGTGCTCTACAAAAAAGTCAACGGCGACGACTCTCAAAACCGTTGTGTAAAAAGTTTTACCGTTGGACAAAAAAGTATGTATAGAAAACAAAAAACGTTTATAGTTCATTCAATATTTGAGATGGAACGGTTTGCCAACGGAGACTTTTCAATAAAATAAAAAAATAGAGGGGGTTACCGTTGACGAAAACGGTTTATTTTAAACTCTTATTTGAAAAAATAAAGTGGTTGGTCTTTTTCACTTCATTTTAGCTCAATGTCATACCAAGACAGTAGCGATTCCGATTCAACTATCCAGGAAGAGGATTATCATCCTACACGGTCACTCCCAGTCCCAGATGACACTCCAAAGACTCGCTTTGACCCCGAGCAATCTAACTTCCAATTGCGCCAACAATTGCAGTCAAAAGCTGATGAATACATGGCTTCTTCTATAGAAGAAAGTATAGAACAGACCTCAGAGTATTCTACAGCTCTTGGTCAACTAGTTTCGGCGACAGTCCAATTCGAACAAATTTGTTCGAATTCAATTCAATATGCAGACGAACTTGTCCGCTATTGTCCCACTCTTGTAAGAGTACTTCAAGAACGACTCTTCAACCAGTTGCTTCCTACCTTACGCAGCCCAATTCAAATTCAATTTGCCCGTGCAGCCATAAACTTCACTCCGTACTCGTACAGCTATGACCAGGATGAACTAGCTGACGAGTACGGAGCCGAAAATGTTGGCTGGGTTTTTCGCACAACTCCTTGCGAATTCCAAGTTGAAATTGTCAACCATTTCCTCGTTCGTACTATTTCGTTACAGAATGAAGACAACGAAAAAGATGGAGTCATTCCAGGTGACCGTGTGAGAGTCATTTTCCAACGCAAAAGTGGACAAGAAATTGTATTCGAAGAATTGGTTTGCATATTCTTTAGCAATGGTCAAGCCTACTGGGAAGGAAACTTGGTATTAGTCCCCGGTGAAACCATTTCTGTTTCATCGGATTTGA